AGAGAGAGAGAGAGAGAGAGAGAGAGAGAGAGCTGATAAGGAGAACAGAGGTGAAAAGAGGCTGAGATGCAGAGAGATAAATTACAGCCTATGCTGTTATCGGCTGTGACACTTCGACAAATAAAGACAAAAATAAGAACCCAACAGTCTTGACATTTAAAGCGTTCAAAGTCGGCCTGCAGATGTAACGGGTGTTGAACACGGGCTGAGAATCTGCTGTAGCGATGCCGACAGGGTGGAGCGTTGTGCTCTACGTCCTGGTATTCAGGGGGTATCTCTCTCTCTCTCTCTCTCTCTCTCTCTCACACACACATACTCTCACTCTCTCCTCTGTTACCTTGGCAACATATTTTCTGCTTGGAAATAGCATCTCTCGCTGTGCCCACTGCAAAAAAAAAAAAAAAAAAAAAAAAAAAAAATAGGCACTTCAAGAGATTTAAACGGGTCTAGAACAGATTTAAGTTACAGACCTACAGATTGGATGGAATTGAGTTATTTTGTTCTGCATGCCTTGGCATGAAATTGGCCGTGTGATGGAGCAATGGAGGAGTTAAACATAACAGCCACTGATGGGCTTTCACTATATGTAACCAAGGATGTAGAGGAAGGTGTATCTACAAAGGAGTCCTTTTTGTACAATTTCGTAATCGCAGAATAGAGTTTACTCTGTCGATAAAGATAGTTTGATGTTTACACAGGTGGTTGTTTGTCTCAAGATTTATATACATCGAATATGAAATCCAGCTCTTGACAAGGAGAGCACAAGTGAGAGAAAGATCCTTGGCAGAGGTGTTATTAAGAAATGTAGAATAAATAATAAAGCACAGAGGGCTGAGGGTTGATCTGTGTGGATTTCCTGATTTAGTCTCCACTCACAGATGAAGGGGTTTAGTGCGGCGGTAAGAAATGTGGGTATATCTCGCTGCTGAGGCCGCCTGCTATGCTTCGGAGTGATACAAAAAAAAAAACACCTTTGTTTGCTTGCTGCCAGTGCAACACAGAGAGCGACAGGAACAATCTAATGAAAGAATATCTGGGCGTTGAGATTGTAGGTGCAATCACACTTTCGGCTGCAAAATAAGCTCAGATCTTACCGAAGCAGAGAGAGAGAGAGAGAGAGAGAGAGAGAGAGAATCACATCCAGGTGAACATGCAGCACGGAATTAAAAACAGGAAGACACAAATAAAAAGTGGCTTGACTCCTGGGAGAGAGAAGCCATAATGAAATAAGCATCTGAAAGAGAGCAGGTGTTGGAGGCTTGACAGACTTCAGCTGCATAACAAGTAGCACGTTTACTCTCCCATGCCTTTGTCAATCAAAACAACCAATCTCATGGATAAATGCTCCCTTAGTATAAAAAAACACACAGACAGAGACCCTCAAGTGGAATCATGCCTGAATCAGCCTTTACATATAATGTGACTCTCTCTCCCAATCACAGGGTTGGTCTCAGGTAGAGGAAAAGTGCGCCTGGTTCTGAATTTCAAGCAGCACATCTTTAAAAAATTGCCAATAAGACATCAAGAATGCACTGGAGCTCGATCAATTCATTTCCTCATCAGAAACACAAAGCAACACAGCTCCCTTTGGTTTTTCCTGCTCCTCTTGGATCGTTAACGTGACAAACAGGAAACAAAGACTCAAAAGAGAACTCTTCAGACACAAACCTCACACTCACACACACACACACACACACACACACACACACACACAGAGAAAGAGAGAGGCTTGATGTCATTGCTGTATCCAACCCTTTTGGGATCAGCACCATGGATAGCACCGCCACCCGGTCACCACTGTTTAGTACCAGAAGGGGGCAGTAGGAGCTGGTCTGGAGTCTGCAGTGGAGAGACCAGGATCAGGCCAAAGAGCAGGATCTTAGCAGGACGCTGAGGTCGACAGTTGTGCTAATCCCGCTGGCTCAGCAGAAAAGGGAATGGACTTATGTGGAAACTCAAAAGCTGCAAGTGCAGACCGGAGGAGGAAGTAAGGAAATCCCACCGAGCTGATGCAGCTTTATGAAAGTTAAAATAAGAAGAGAGATACTATTATATATCAAGAATACACGTTGGGAAGCATGGGACGTGTTTACTAATCAAAATAATTGAGACTAATGTGGTCCTGCATAAAAGAGATACACTGATGTAAACGTGCATATGTTTTATCGAGTATTAAAAATAAAAGCACTCACTGAGCAGAACGGCTCCTGTCTGTGTTACATTACTAAATGATGGGATGATTAGTACTGACGCATTGTCAGCAGTACTTTAATGTTGGAGCTGACCTGCTGGAGGTGGAGATCATTTTAACTGCTGTATATACTGAGCATAATAATCTATAATAATTCATAAGATCTTCTCTTTGTAATCTGCAAAGCAACGAGTAACATATTTCTGAGGGAAATAAATGCGTTTCCCTCAGAAATATAGTGAGCAGGGGTATAAATGAACATAATACTCAAGTATCACATAGTTATACCGATGTACTTTACTGAGTAAATGTACTTTCCACCACTGGTGACATTAACTTTAACGGTGTATGAATGTGGGGCAAAGGGAAACATCTATCTGGGTGTTGTGAAAAGGATCTGACAGCATGTCACTTTAAAAAGTGGGCAGGTTACTGAATGTTCTCGTCCCAAGCAGGTCTTGATCGTCACACACCGATGGCCGCTATAAAATATTACTTTGTTTGTGTGGAAACATCACATTCAAAGTCTCGACCGTACTTAAATTTACACTCAAACCCCCCCATGACTAAGCACTGGGGGTGATAGTGGCAAATACACAATTATAGATTAAAAGATTTGCTAATTAACCTTCTTAATCAACTAATTGATTAATAAACCTATTGTTTCAGCTCTGAATGATAACCCTAATATTGTATTAAATGGGCTAAAATGTGCCAAAACAGTAATTTTAGATGTACAATCATAACAAGAAAGGAATGTATTGATAACAAATCAATCAAAAAAGATGCACTTAATAAAAGCGTTGGTGTATTTCGACAGGGTTGGAATGAGCCATTTTATTGTGGGCAGTTGAGATACATGTGTGTAAATATCAACAGAAGGAAGTTTATGGTTAACATCTGTACATTACATTCCAACAAAAAGAAAACGTGATGGTCTCGCAGTCGATTCAATGTACGCTCCGGATATTGTAACCGAGACTCGCTCTGAGTAACTCGTAACACATTACTCATTCATCTGTGTAAAGACAGTTCATAGAAAATAGAAAGCAACTCATGACTAAAAGTTTAATCGGTTAACACTTTAAATCACACCTCTATCTATGTCTACGTAATTTCAATACAGCCATACAATACAAGTATACACGGTTATTTTGTGGTTAGAGAAAAATACAACCAAAGAGGGTATGGAGATGCAAACATACAGCTGTTTTTAAACTTCTCATACATGTGGAAACGGGTCAGAAAAGGCCGGAGCCTTTTAGTATCAGCGGTACGATCTCATTATGCACGAGGGAAGAAAAAAATAAATCACAATTTTACTAAACATAGCCTGAGACAAGTGTACAATATGCACGCTCGTGGGAAAATAAAAGCTATGTGAGAAAATAAAAATACTAATAGACGGCTGCTTCTCCGCTCGCTCTGGTAAAAATAAGTCTCTGATGTTTGTCCACGAGTTCCATCTTCTGGCAGCTGAGTGCCACTGGAGAAGGGGGGGGACTGTGCTGGCCGGGGCTTTGGGGAATAGTCACTGAGTTCCTCATCCGATGTGACCGCAGGAGAAAGGGGACGCAGGAAAACTAGCTGAATTTCAGTGTTTTTTAGTCTTTTAAATCTGTCAGATTTTTCCATATAAATCAATAAGTCTCGAGCTTTTCATTCCGGTCCTCAAAAGAGGTTTCAGGTGTGCGGCTGGGATGCTTCTTTTTTTTTTTTTTTTTTTTTTTTTTTTTTCTCCCTTTCTTTCTCTTGTCTTCTTGACGCTGGTGGATGGGTTCTCATTGGTTATTTTTGGCTTTGGCATGTGTGAGAATGTGAGACTTGAGATTGGTCGACTGCGCGAACTTCTTATTGCAGCCGTCGAAAGGGCAGACGTAGGGTCGGTCTCCAGTGTGGATCCGCACGTGTGTGCGCAGGTTGAAGTCCAGAGAGAACCGTTTCCCGCAGCCTTCAAAGGTGCACTAGAAGAAACGAGAGGGGGGGGGGGGGTTGTCAGTCTTTACGTTGATCACGCAGTGCGTGACATCCAATTTGACTATTCGTTACACCTCCCCCGAAACACTGATTGTCCAATCACGGCGGGCCTGCCGAGCTTTGGATTTCCCCTCATGGTGAAGCGGAGTTGTGAGAATGACACTCTGCACTTCAAAAGTTTGCAAGTTTTGTGTATTTCTTAATATTCCCAAAACCAAAGACACAAGAAAGACCTAAGGAACGGACTTGAACAGTGTGTTTAGCTGCTCTTATGTAAGCTGCAAGTGTTTAAATGTCCGGTTAACTAACTTACTACACCTACAGTAGCTACCCAACGTTGAATAATAACGTTATATAATCTCTCTCTCTCTCTAATACATTTATGTATGACAAACACATAGATTAGTGTTCATTCCAACAGCCTTTTCTCATGTTTTGTAATGCAAACAATAAAACTAAGCAGCCAAACAGAGTTATTACGTTAGATGGTGAGGATGCTAATATTATATATGTAGCCATCAAATGCATAATACAGAAATATTATAAGTTATGTGTCAGATGTCTTCAACCAACTCATGACGCCAACATTATTACTGTAAACTGCATATGTGCAGGAACAGGAAGTTCGACAGGTGCAGTAAACGCTCAATGGAAAAAGACTCATCAACATGTCAACAATACCAGCGAAAACATACAAATGTGATTGAAATATGTCAGGAATTATATAAAGTAGCGGCCAATCCCCACTGAAAAGTGCATGTCGTGCATGTCACAGAGCAGATACGCTTACATTTTATTAAATGCATCAACGCTCACTGGCTCCGTATTGTGTTTCTCTGAGGACTCCGTGTGCACAGAGCCGAGACGCCACTCCGCTGACCGGTTGCTCTCGACACCGATATTAACGGCTCTGATTCAAAATTGTTGAACTGGAAGAAAATGTGCATGCAGGCTGAAATACAACCGTGGGGTTCTGTCGGGAGTAGAAGAGCTACGAGTAAGGAAGAGTAACTGAAGTAAACTAGTTTATGTGGAAACCTTTTTTGGTAGATTACAGCCGGCTTTAGAAGCACTGCAGAAGGATTCATGTTTTGTTTGTGTAATGTTTATTTAGTGAGGTGGCTAACACAGATACTGGTATTGAAAAGATGCAGCTTTTTATATTATAGCATTATTTTTGAAAGCACATTTATCTGACTGCTTATGTTAATTCTTGAAAAAGATACCATGTGCAGTAATATAGAAAGCCGAGGACGCAATACATCGAGACGCAACGAGAGTCGTTGCATCGTAATGAAGAGAAGATTCCCACCTCTGGAGCTCGGTGGGTGACATGACTTATCATCCCTTTCTCCTTCGCTTGAATTTTGACTTAAAACTCTGATAGGCTTATGTGCTTAAAATGTAAAAATAGTGCGAGTGAATCTGCGCGTGTGGGGGTGTAAAGTTAGTCCAGATGCTAACCTGGAAGGGTTTCTCCCCCGTGTGAACGAGTTGGTGACGTTTGAGTTTGGAGCTCTCGACGAACGCCTTGCCGCACTCGGCGCAGACGTGCACGCGGGGTCCGTGGGTGTGGAGATGCTTCCTCATGGCCGAGTTATCCCTGAACATCTTTGTGCAGCCCTGGAGACAAAAGAAAGGGCCGACACAAAGAGTTAACACACGGCACAGACAAGCAGATAATGTCAGGTTATATGCAGCAGATCTGTAAAGTGGTGCACTAAAAGGGTTTTTGCTTCCTTGTGTATAAATGTCAAGTGGCCCCAGCATTGCGTTTGATTTCCTTTAATCCTGAAAAGAAGTGGAGCTGCGACTATTCTCCCCTGAAATTGCTCTGTGATCAGCTCCCCGCTAACACAGTGAATAATCCTTTACATTAGCAAAACATGTAGTTCAGATAAGGTTTGATTGCTCTTGCAAGTACATACAAATCAATATACTTGAGTGCTTTCTTCACTTTTAAATAACCTTTACAGGAATGTTCAATTACCCAGAAAGCAACAGTGCCAGACTATTAAACCCATCAGGAGCTATGAGCTCTGTTTTGTGGTGGGAACAACGTCATTAGACTCACTTTATGAGGGCAGGCTATCGTCCGGGGAGCGTCGTCCTCTTTCACTTTCCTGGGCTTCATCCTGATTTAGGAAAAATAAAAAAGGACATGGTTTTAGATTTTAAACAAACAAAAACAGACAAAGCCATATCTTTCTAGACAAGCGCCCGTGTTATCCTCTAGTCCAGTTTTAATGCTTGCTGATGTGTTTTAGTTAATCAGTAACCAGTAGCAGTTAGAGGCCATCTGCGACAGCGGAAACATCCTCACTTGACTTTTCCCCTCGAGAGGAAACATGTTTACAGAAAAGTGAACAGTGAGAAGACTCTGAAGTTATTGTGGTAAATGATTTCATAATAAATACTATAAACATTCACTGGTCTCTCCACAAAACAAGCCCGCTAACCATGCAGCTGACATTTTACAGGCTGCGTGATTAGATGACAACATAACTGGATGAATAATAAATACTTCTGTGAACTACAGTGGGTGTCATTTTACACATCCAAAACACAACCTGACAATTTTGGGCAGCAGCACTACAGTTCTTTTTGTTATGGTCTATCTATATATCTATATATATAGATATATATAAAAAAATACTTTCTTCTGGTCTATTTCAGCCCGTTACAGTGGTATACTCCTGCTCAATAAATGCCATACACAGAGCTTGCTCAAAGCTTTTGGATTAACATGAATAAATATCTGCAGACACAGAAAAATGCCTTCAAAGCTTTGCTCTTTCCCTTATTTCTATTATTATATAGAATTATATTTTCTTTATATTTAGTTATCCTGCATTTAAACTGAACACATAGCTTGATTTGTGACAAATAAACACTTTAAATCTTCAATTTTGAGAGAGAATAAAAGAAGACAAATTCTAATAAATACAAAAGAAATAAAAAACAGAATATCTGATAGTTGTGTAGAAGAACACAGCCATGTTTATCTCATACTACATTTAACCTTTTGCATATTTATCCACAACAGGTGTGTTTATATTATTGCCCCCCCCCACCCCCCACCACACACACACACACACACACCTGGCGAACTCGGCCAGCTGTTTGGGGTCTGAGAGGTCGATCCCCGGGATACCACCAGGGGGCAGCTTCTTCCCCGTCATGTACTCCGAGTAGTCCGGAGGAGAGTTCTCCCCAACGATCTGCTCCTCCACCACCGACTCGTGGTCGATGTCTGTACGGTCATTAGGAACACATTACAGAGACTGAAAGGATAACACAGTGGTGCTTCCCTAAAAACACGCCTGAGGGGAGGGGGTGCAAACACGTGACATTCACTCCATACTGCACATCAGTTTGCAGGTATTAACTTTGCAAATTATACTGTAAACATGTTAAAATAAATGCTAATGTTAATATGACAAACGTGCAGAGTAAAAACAACAATGAGCTACAACCCATAAGGGAAACAAATATATAAATCATAATATTTTCAGCAACATTATTATAATAAATAGTGCAGAAAAGAACAGACTATGGTGTGCACATTAATCTAAAGCCTGAACTGCACATATATATATATACATTTATGCAAGCACAAAAACGAATGGCCTCCTCTAATTAAGACATGTGTGTAAAAGAAGCTAAACTACTGAATCCTACTTTAATCCACCCTTCAGAGTGCACTGAAAACACAGACAAATAGCTGCTGTGACCCTTAAAAACAATATAAAGCAAAGCGTCAACCATACTCTGGTTGTGAAACTAAATGGGTAACCTGTAGAATATCCTAAATTGATGGGCTAATATCACACTGCACACGCAGTACCACCACTTCTGCACAGAGGCAGTAGTTAGCTGTCTCGTGAACCACCACCAACAGCAACAACCAGAGCTAACTGCTAATCGATCTACTGGCTAATAAAGTACTAGACTCACATTTCCACGCGTGTTAAACCTCCACACATACACACGATCATCTAGTTGCAGTTGAGCAAAGCACGTGCGCCACAGTAGTTTTGCGGCCTGCAGATATTCAAACCCCAGCTGTCTCGAGCTCTCTACTCTCTCTCTACTCTCCCTCCTCCCCCCTTAGCACCGCCGCCATCTCTGCCTGGCCGCGACTATCGCCATTTTTTCGGGGGCCGCCGCCATACTTACTAGTCTAGGGGAATATGGCGGCGCCCAGCAACACTTAAAACATGGCCTCCCTTCAAAACAAAAACATTTCCATACGACACGACGGTGTTTCGTGGAGAAAAAATGCAATATTTGTCGCTTTTTGCGGCAGTGCGCACTAGCACTCCAGGAACTAGTCTGGTGCAGCAGGACAACGCCCTGGCAGCGAGGCCTCATGTAACGGCTATCAACAGACAGCATGACAGACAGACAGGCTAACGTTTACTCACCCGATGCCCACATCGTAACAGAGAACTCCCCCTCCAGTGTCTTTATTTGCACCTGCTTCTGTTCCCATTTTCTCCCGCCGGCCTCCGCGCCGCTTAAGTAGCTCTTTTTGCCCGCTTTCTTGCCCCCAGTGCCGCCGCCTCCCCGTCTCATCCGACCCACGGAGCTTTTCCCCGCCACGGTCACCAGAGTCTGTTCGATGTACTCGTCCTCCACCCCGGGAGCCGGTACCGGGATGAGGATCTGGTCCTCGAACCCGCTCCCGCCGTCCGTGTGCATGTCCGAGTCATCCCCACCGACCACCTCCTCCCGGGTCTGGACCAGGATCACCTCCTGGTGGTGGTGATGGTGGTGGTGGTGGTGGATCAAGTTAGGGTCGTCCGTGACCAACGGCTGGAGCGCGATCATGGGCTGCCCGTCGTCGTCTTCATCATCTTCATCGTCTTCATCATCGTCGTCGTCGTCGTCGTCCCCACCAACCACCGTGGTCTCGATAGTCTCCACGGGTATCGTTTCCACCTCTATCTCGTGGAGCTCCACGATCTCGGCCGGCATCTCCGAGCCGTCTGTCTCGATGTACAGCGTATCTCCGGATGCCATATTGAAGTCCGCCAGCTTGCCTCTCTCATTCACGCCGTGTTGTGCTCCTTTTTTTGGACCTCAAAAACACACTCTCTCTCTCTCTCTCTCTCTCTCTCTCTCTCTCTCTCTCTCTCTCTATATCACACACACACCCCCAGCTCTGCTCCTGCCTCTGTCTGTTCTCCCTCTTCCTCGATAACAACTCTCTTCGCTCCGTCCCACGCCACTTCTCGTTCTCGTCGAGCACTATGCTCTCCAATACTGAAACGTCGCGAGATGTTGGTGAACCCAGAGATAACTTGATTGCAGTGGTTTGTTGACATGAGGTTTTGATGTATTTGTCCCATAAGCACTCATTTGAACATATTTCTTTTAATGCATATGATAAGAGGTACATTACATAAATATAGTCAATGCCGTGAACATATTATCCAATTGTTATATCGATGTTTTTTTTCAAATTAGAGCAATAACTATCATTAAGCTTCGTTTGCTTTCTTATATTATTTTTTCAAATATTCCAATTTTGTCAATAAAATTCCCAAAATAGCAAATGTTCATCACACGTGACCAGATCCCAAATCCATTTAATAAAAGTTGCTTATTTAGTCTTTTTTGATACAGTGTTATGTGCGTAGGAGCTATTTATTTGATCTTAGTATTTAGTTATTTTATCCATAAGTAGTATTGTTTAATCATTCTAGATTTTTGCTTATTTAGGTTAGATTTTTTAATATATATATTTAGATAGCTTTTTGTTTTGATAGTCATTGTTGTTTAGCATACTTTTATATGTTTAGTATAGTTTTGGGGTTTGTTCGTTTGTTCATGAATTGGGTAACACTGTGGGCATAGGTACAGGACCAGCACGCACCGGGGTGGGCCTCTGGTTTTTTACAAGAGCAGGAGAGGCAGCAATAGGATTTTCTTTGTTCTTATGTTTGCTTGCTTGCTTGTTTTGTTAATTAAATCATGAGAAACAGCGATCCTGTATGGACAATGAAGTCTTTTGAGTAAACCACAAACCCACGGTGCATCAGTGGCCCTTTGATTTATGTTTGGACAAATGGCCACGACAGATTGATAGTAGTTTTATTGGTTAATCTTAACTGCTTTTATTTAGATTTTTTTGATAGTCCAGCACGAGTTCATGAAAGTTTTCAACGTTTATTATCAGTTCTGTGACCTCAACTGACAAATTCTGCCATTGCTGCATCAGCTAAGCTTTTATTCAACTTACTAAATATAGTATGTACATGGAAAGCTGAGGAAATTAGCATTTAAAAAAAAAATCAGGAACACACCCCTTTGATTGAATTTATGAATTGATGTTATAATGAATTACATTTTATATCAATCACTTTCTCGAACACCAAGTAAATATATGAATCAATACATTAACTGATTATCTGGGTTTATCTTTTGAATGTATTTTTGCAGGAAACTTTAACAGCATCCTAGATTGTGTGCAGCACTTGCATAACACAATAAGGTTGCACAAAAACTGCTCAGACTACCCACACTTCTCTTCCGCTGCACCAGCCTGAATCTATGGCATCTATTCAATAAGCACATGTTTTTGTGTTTAAAAAAATTGGAGTCAGACAAAATCACAAGACAGGCATCGAAATAGCACCAGAACAAACACAAAAGGAACAAGACAGCCTCATTAGTCCAAGACGTTCACAGTTTTATTTGAATTCATTTTTAAAGTTAGTGCGTTTCTTTTTTTTGTTGTCAACCAGGAAGCACTTTGTATTAAAAGGAGAGAATAAAATGAAAAATACTTCACCATATCCTTGCAGCCAATAAACATTTTATTAACAACATGATCACAAATACTCTGGTGTATTATTTATTTTTTTTTTTTGTTTATAAGATTGCAATATCCAAAGAAGTTTATTCCACCCTCGGTTTCAGGTCACAGCCTGTATTTTTCTGCCGTGGTTCCACACATAGCCGTGTTGGCGAAAGGGATAAAAAACCTTTAAAAAAATGTTCCAGGTTAAATGATGAGACATCGTTTTTGGGGATGTGCTTGCAGCTGTATCTAAAACAAAAATAAATGAAAACAAACAATATAAAATAAAAAAGGCTAACATAAAATGATGTGCAGTTATAATTATTGACATTATAGTTACTACCATATTCTCATGATCATTTCCTCATTATTACCATTGTACTCACTACACTACTACTCATTTCAACATTACAGTGACAATCATAACAATGATAGTAATAATAATGAAAATGATAGTAGTAATAATAGTAATAGTAATAATAATAAAAAGCTTTAACCAAAAAAAATAAAACCATATGAATTTTATCCATTTTTCTTCAGGCAGAGGACAGAGGGGCAAAACGGGCGAACAAACAGAAACAGAAAATGTGAGGAAATCAGAGGAATCAGTGCGAGAGTGAGCCCCATTCAAACAAACAAACCAAATGTTACACAGACATGTCTCAGGTGTCACAGCAACGTTGCCGCGTTGCTTCAACACCACAGCTGAACAGGGTGAGTAGATGTCACAGTTTGGGCCTCCATTCCTGACTTCTCTCCTCCTCCTCCTCCTCAGGGCCACAGCGGCGGCTGCAGGGGCAATGGTTCAAAAAGGTGGTTCATGTCGGGGGAGTGGCTGTGAAAGATTATGTCGTGCTAATTCGACTGAGTTCATGTCTAATGGCTGCAGAGAGAAAACATAGGGACAACGTTAGGTTCACAATGCCCTGTTAACAACCCTCATAACACGACACTCTGCCTCCATTGTCCTATGTGGGGACCTGGAGTGACTCATTAAAAGGGCACTTCATCAACAGTTAAGTCATCAGAAGCAAAACACATCCTGTGAAAACATTTGTATAATATCTTCTCCAGTTCTGGGGGGATATTTCCGAAGTTTAAAAAGTAACCCCGATTATGTCATAGTGATGTAATTAGGGTGGTTTGGTATTGACCCTTCACTAAGCCCCGCCCCCTGCTGCTACTCCATCAAGTTGTCAGTAAACAAATATGTTTACGGAGTACCCTCCATAAATATGTTTACAGAGTACCTCCATACATTTTATTTATTATATTTGTGCAATCAATTCAGTAACATTATCCATTCACACGCTCACAATATGATAAACATTCTTATAATGCAAGATATTTAACACATTTTTAACCATTAAAGAAATAATAATATTGACATAAACACAATCTATCCATGTTTTAAAATAGTGCTTGTGGTAGTGGTATGCTTTGACATATTAAGTTTCCATGTTAAGGTTTCTGTGACTCTAGTGCAACCTAGTGGTCACAACTCTACATAACTACCAAACGATCATCATCCAACTGGTGAGATTTCCAATTAAATAGTCATTAACATAAATCAGAGGAGAGACAGTGTCCCTAAATGTTGATTGATTAAGTGTTTCAAGAGAAAATTAAACATACCATCAATGATTTCATCCTTCACTTTGTGCAATTCACGAAACACCTCTTCCAAGATTTCCTAATGAAGCAAATAGATCAATAAGTGTTCATCACACATGTGTTTATTTACTGTAGAAATCCTTGTACACGATAAGAAGAATCTGAATTAACTTTCGGAAAACAACTGACTTTGGACAGTTAAGTGGTCTGTCTGTGTTTTCTTTACCTGTTTCATTCTATCAAGGTCTAACGAGTCTGCGTCGCTGCCACCCCCCGCGGGCCGTACCCTGCGTGATAAAACAAATAAACAAGAATCACTCTTTGTCAGATTCCCTGCTGTTGTTCTGCCTCACAGACACATCCAATGCTGCTTCCAGCTCTCACCTCGAAGCCATTGACCTGTCTGCAGAGTTAGCTCGGTCCCACGGCTTCTTTGCTCCATCTAGACGACAGGAACAACCAGGATTTACTGACATTCACACATAATGTATTCTTCTCTGTTTTATTTTCTTTCATATCATCTTTAAAGAAACTTTTAATTGTATCAAGAGGCATCATAACCACTATCCTCTAATCACAAGCCTCCAAAATACACACTGTACAGTGGATATATACAGATACAACCTGTAAAACATATAACAGCCTCTTTCTTCCACTTACATCAGATGTGTTTCTCTGTGTATATTTCTTTTTCAATATGTTTGACTTCCTCTGAGACTATAAGAGATACCCCAAACCATGGAAAATACACCAAACATAGTGCTCAGTTTTCCCCACCTGTGGCATTCTGTCCACTCCGGGTACTGGGTGACGGAGAATTTGGGTCGTCCTAAAGGAAGACACAGGGATTAATTCATGTATTACTACATATCGTCAGTACAGCATCAGTTTCTTTCATATTCCTTTTCCTTCATCCTTTGTTTGTTTTCCTCAATACATATAAAACATCAAAATAACAGTAATCATGCTCATCTAATCACAATCACAACTGCCTCAATTATCACCCCAATTATCTTTGTAAATCACAGAGTGAACACCGGCTTCATGAATAGCAAACATCACTGTTTTCTGTTCACTCACATTTTGGCTATCCTCGGGCCTCTCTGAGGCTGCTTTCCTTCTGGGGGGAAAGAAGAATCCTCAAGTAAGAAGAGGGCATTTCATCCAATGTCTACAGCTTTGAAGAGCGTAATAATAATAATTATCACTTATGAATCCTGAACCACCCGTTGATTAAAGGCTTCAGTGACCGATTACATCTAATTTAGCTGCAGGATGTCGATGCCAAATTGTTTTTGTGGTTTTCTCAACTCATTGCTCTGACCTTCGCGCCAACAGAGCGTTCATCTCCTCCATCAGTCCTCCGCTTCCTCCACTTGAGCGGTTGGCATCGTTTTTGGCGCCTGAAGAGCTTTCGTCTTGGGGCTGGGGAAAGGAGAGGAGTGACGTTACTCTCTGGTGTGCACAAATAGTAAACAATTCAAGAGTGTCAGCCAGGTTTGTTGGAGATAATCCAGTTACATCGTGCCCGCCTGAAGTCTCAAAGATAAACTGGTGTCTCACTCTTTGAACGCGGCGCAGTTTGGCTCCGGCGATCATCGCGGCGAGGCCCGTCTGGGCGGGGGGTTCGTCTGCGTCACTCCCTCCACCCATGGGAAGCGGAGGTGGGAGCGGAGGCGGGGGTGCCCCGGCTGAAGGTGGTGGAGGTCCCGGCGGTGGAGGTCCCGGCGGTGGTGGAGGGGGAGGAGGGCCACCCATGTTCATTGGAGGAGGTATTACTGGGGGGGCCACGGAGAGCACCGCAGGGTGGCCCTGGAAAGGAGAACCTGGAGGGAAAGAGTGACATGTGAAGATGGAGAAGACTCAATCTGTTTACAAGGGTATGTATCCGCACTTAAGAATGTATATTTTATGGTAGACGATACAAAGAGTCTTATTATATACACTTCAGTTGACGTGTGCTCTTTACGGCGAGACACTACGGGCACAAACATGTTTGTTTTTTAAATGTTTCCCTGTTCACCTGGGGGGGTCTCCACTTAATGTGAGTACCTGAGTTGGACGACCGTAGCTCCCGCTCCATGTGCGCCTGCATTTGCTGCTGCTGCTCCATCATCTGCCTAAAGACACAAGAAGGAAACACTGCCGGTCACTTAACATCACAAATGTCAAGTCACATTCGTGATTCTGTCATTTTACTATCCTGCAGGAACAGTGCAGCCAACTGCTGCCTCAAAGCTGCAGCAAGAAACTTCATCAGGTCCAAATAAAAGTGACAAGTAACCTCAGAAGGCTTCACACGCAGTAATTACTGCAGGGCCTATTGTGCACAAGCTGGGACCGGCACTGAATATATCAAGGATGACGGTTCACAAATTTTACTGTTTCTTTTCCCCAGTTTATACAGATAGAGGAGACAAAATACAATCCTTCTTCTTAGGTCTTCATCAGCGGCTGCTTTAAACCATTTTTAAAGTCATTCATTTCTCTAATTTTCTTTTGTGGCCACACAACACTGACACATTATCCTCTTGTAAAGTTGATATGGCTAACATGGTTGCCTCTTCACACATGGAGCAGACCTTTAAGATTATTAAATCTAAATTTTATACCCGGAAGTCAAACTTATTTTGCTTCATTCACAGAGCAACTTCCATTAGAATGAACGGAGCCCCGCACCTAACGCTGTGACTTCTCTTTAGACATCCACGCTGTCATCACACTGAAGGCAGCTTTGATACGTGTAGCTTGTAGACTTAACACGACACTAAGTCATCTACTCAAGTGTTTTTTTGGCATCGCGTCACAGTTGCAGCATGAAGCCAACGTCCTTTTCCTCGTCTGTCCAAACCCACATCGCTGTCTCTCCTTCATCTCCGGCCCATCAAACCTTCCCCATCTTTCCTCACAAATCTCTGTCTTTGATATGAAAAGCATATGTGTGTCACGACTCAGGAGAGAGAAAGAGAGAGAGAGAGAGAGAGAGAAATAGAGAAAGAGAGAGAAAAGGGAGACAGCTCATTGAGAAGAAGCGGAATTTTCCAGCTGTGTGTTGGAGTGCAGAAGTGCTGAGCCAGCAGCCTTCTCGACGTGACAGCAATGCGCGCAGTTCGGAGCAGAGCTGCTGAGCAACACTACCCTGCTGCCGCTGGAGAGAGCTCACTCAAATTAATTTGCATCCCCTGACACACACACACACACACACACATACACGAAAAATGCACACGCGTAAGCACACAATCTCCCCTCACAATCACAGACGTAATCCCTTTGTGCCAGAGGTTCCGTTTAGCAGACATGGGATCAGAGGGAGCTGTAACTCCCGTCATATTTGTACTCTTAAGCTCTGGCATTTGGATGAACCAATAGGCAGAGACCTGGAATAGGTTTAAAAACAGACCTATTTGTGTCTCTGAGGGGGAGAGAAGAACCGTGACCACAGTGGAGGAAATGCTGGCCGCTTCGTAAGCCATGGAAACTGCCTCAAGCATTATTTCCAATACTGCTCATCCATTATTTTTGGATTATTTAATCTGCCAGTATGATTCAGAAGAAAAAAACGTGTGTTTTAGCCCTATTTTTTTTTTAAATCTCACTGTTACCCATGTGAGTTAGTCCTGGGAGGCCGGCAGATAAGAGGGAATTAGAGAGGGATGAAAGAGAGTTGGAATACAATTCATTGAAGGCAGCTGTCTGCATATTTTAGAGTTCATTCTCATTCTGTGTGACAGGTTGTCAGACACACGGGGCCAAAGCTCTCGACCATAATCTCAACCACTATAGTGGTTTGGACTGAGTTCATCTAAAGTTCATCCGCTGGTTTGGAGATAATTCAGTTAAATGTCCTGAACGAGTAATCTTACCTTCACTAATACACAGCGAGTCTCACCGGTAAACATTTTGGAAGCAGGCCGTGAACGTCACATCACAGGTGAGGAGCTCTAAACATAGCTGAGAATCTTTAATCTTTTTCCAAAACCCCCAGTCTTTTGGAGTGTCACTTAAAGAGAGGAGTCTCAACCAGCTTCTTGTCATGAGCGATGGGGTCCTACATGAAAACACATTATTCTGCCACAGCTTTGGTAACAACACATGAGTGATTTTATGTATTTGTGTTTTTTTTAGTTTTTTTGGTTTGTCCCTTCTGGGATACTGTAGAAACATGGTGGACTGAAGAGGACCCGCTAATAAACGGCTCATTCTAAACGAAAACACAACAGCTCAGCTGAATATACATACTTATACATTTTATATTCTATTTCTGCTAATAGAGAGTGTTCCTTTAAGATTTGAAGCCGCATTTTCAGGGGCTTTAAATATATTTAAATATTGTTCAACCATTTCAGTAAATAAACTTTACCTCGCTCTCTGAACTTCCATCTCATCTGAGGTTGGTCCATTCTGGACATGGCGCTGGACAGCTGGACCTAAAGATGCAAAAGAGAGAGAGAGAGAGAGAGAGAGAGAGAGAGAGAGAGAGAGAGAGA